TCCGCACGACCGTTCGTGATCGCGACGGTAGATATAGTGTATCGCTACCTTTTAAAGGAGATGTTTTATCTCTCGGCGATTCGCGTCAAATGGCGGAAAAACCTTTCTACAGCTTGGAGCGTAGGATGCTCGCTTCAACCCAGTTAAAAGAAGCTTATGACGGCGTCATTAACGAATATATAAGAGAAGGTTACATATCACTCGTGGCTTCGAAATTAGATAACTACGAAGACACACCGTCGTATTTCATACCATACCACGGGGTCATTAGGGAGGACAAACTTACATCTAAGTTACGTGTAGTGCTCGACGCTAGTGCTAAAACTAGCACTCACCTGTCGCTTAACGATATCCTCTATAGTGGGCAAACTTTACAGGGCAGTTTATTTAATATAATAGCCAATTTTCGTTTGTTTAGTATAGCACTATCCGCCGATATTCGCCAAATGTTTCTTTGCATAGGGGTCCGTGAATGCGACCGTAGATTCCAACGCATTTTATATCGTTTCAACCCAAAGGAAACTCTAATGGTGTTTGAATTTAACCGCGTTTGTTTTGGTTTAAAGTAGAGCCCATTTCATGAGTTACGCACGGTGAAACAGCTCGCCCACGGTGAAGGTCCCTCTTACCCTAAAGTTAAGAGGGCAATTGAGAGCGGTTTATATATGGATGATTTTGTATACTCGGTCAATAGCGTGGAGGAGGCCATCCTAACCACCGCCGAGGTTATAAGGCTCATGAAATCGGGTCAATTCGATCTAGTGAAGTGGACTAGTAATTTGCGTCCGGTTTTAGATGCAATCCCACTATCACACCGTGTATCGCTACCTTTTAAAGGAGATGTTTTATCTCTCGGCGATTCGCGTCAAATGGCGGAAAAACCTTTCTACAGCTTGGAGCGTAGGATGCTCGCTTCAACCCAGTTAAAAGAAGCTTATGACGATATATATATTAAGAGAAGGTTACATATCACTCGTGGCTTCGAAATTAGATAACTACGAAGACACACCGTCGTATTTCATACCATACCACGGGGTCATTAGGGAGGACAAACTTACATCTAAGTTACGTGTAGTGCTCGACGCTAGTGCTAAAACTAGCACTCACCTGTCGCTTAACGATATTCTCTATAGTGGGCAAACTTTACAGGGCAGTTTATTTAAAATAATAGCCAATTTTCGTTTGTTTAGTATAGCACTATCCGCCGATATTCGCCAAATGTTTCTTTGCATAGGGGTCCGTGAATGCGACCGTAGATTCCAACGCATTTTATATCGTTTCAACCCAAAGGAAACTCTAATGGTGTTTGAATTTAACCGCGTTTGTTTTGGTTTAAAGTAGAGCCCATTTCATGCGTTACGCACGGTGAAACAGCTCGCCCACGATGAAGGTCCCTCTTACCCTAAAGCTAAGAGGGCAATTGAGAGCGGTTTATATATGGATGATTTTGTATACTCGGTCGATAGCGTGGAGGAGGCCATCCTAACCACCGCCGAGGTTATAAGGCTCATGAAATCGGATCAATTCGATCTTGTGAAGTGGACTAGTAATTCGCGTCCGGTTTTAGATACAATCCCACTATCACACCGTCTTTCGGCGATAAAGGAATTCGACGATTCTGATACACACAAGGTGCTCGGTCTGTGTTGGTCACCAGAGTCCGACGTGTTTAGCCTTAAGGTAAATCCGCCCGTAGAGAAATGCACAAAGCGCACAATACTGTCATGCGTTGCTAGATTATGGGACGTCATGGGTTTCGTAGCTCCGGTGGTATTATACGCTAAACTTTTGATTAAACAACTTTGGTTATTTGAATGCGATTGGGATGACTCGCCGCCTGACAGCATTGTTCGGTTGTGGCAGCGTTTTAGAGAGGAATTTCCTTTACTAAGAGAAATTAAAATACCGCGTCATATAAACGTCGATAGAAATAGCGTCATAACGGTCGTTGGGTTTGCAGATGCCAGCGAGAAGGCTTACGGGGGCGTTGTATATTTCAACGTTCAGAATAATGGTAGAAATTCGATTAGCCTCATTAGTTCTAAGTCGAGAGTCTCCCCCCGTAAGGTTGTCTCTCTGGCGCGCTTAGAGCTTTGCGCAATATTAGTACTCACCAAGCTTATTACCGCAGTTATCAGCGCATGTAGGGATAGAGTTCACATAGAAAAGATATTTGCCTTTTCCGACTCCACCGTCGCCTTATGCTGGGTTCATTCTTCACCCCACCGTTGGGATACGTTTGTCGCGAACCGAGTGGCCAAGATCCAAGACGAGTTAGAAACGCGGAACTTTTATCACGTGTCCGGTACGGAAAACCCTGCCGATTGTCTATCCCGTGGACTCACCCCGATGCAAATAATGGACCACCCGCTTTGGTTCCACAGACCTTCTTGGGTTCACTTGGATCCCTCGCAATGGCCAATAACCGATTTCGAACCTTCGTCAGTGTCACAACCGCCGGAAGAGGAGAGACACGCTCTAGTGGTGAACGTTTCGAGCGAGGTTTCTCCAATCATTGCTTTGGCGAACCGCTTGTCCTCTTGGTCGAAATTATTGCGTAGCGTAATTTACGTTTGTCGATTCGCGAAGCTTTTACCGCGACGTTCGTATGTCTTAGCGTCCGATTACAACTATGCCGAGTCGCTAGTATTACGTGAACTTCAACGTGCACACTTCTCTGAAGAAATTATAAGATTACAATCGAATAGAGCTTGTAGTCGCGCCTTTCAACGCCTTAAGCCATTTTTACAGGATGGGATTGTAAGGGTAGGTGGACGCTTGTCCAACTCGCAGTTGCGTTTCGACCAACGGCACCCTATATTTTTACCGCGCAAAGACCATATCATGAATTTATTAGTCGATTACCATCATAAATTGAATTCGCACGCTGGCCCCGACTTTCTGATGTCGATCTTACTTACTCGATGTATTGTTTATAATTATAACAATAATTTAGATGCAATATTTCCTTTAGAAATAATCTACATAGTATCTCAATGAATGAAGTTGAAAAGAAACCAAGACGGGCGGAAACTTTCGGGCTCTGAAACAGAAGGGAATCGAGGCTTCTCTCGATCCGGCCTCCTATAACGCCTACGTTGGGTTCGAGAACAACGTATGTGATCTCCGCAACGGAGTAACACACAAGGGCGATAACCTCTTCCTTTTCAGCAAGTAGGTTCAGACGGGGATTACGGGTCTTCCGAAGTCGTCCCGGTCCCAACGCCTTAATTCTTCGATGTGGACTGTATAACTTGAGGGATGAATTTCTTGGGAATAAAACAGCAATTATCTTCAAACCATTCCGTGAGAGAGTAATCACTTTTCCCTATCACTTCCCTACACTTTTTCTTTCTTCTCCTTATTGACTGCTGGTATGATTTCCGAACTTTTTCCCCGAACTATCTTCCCGAACTTTTTCCCCGAACGAATTGCAATAAAACCCGTTCACTAAGCTACCCCAGAGCTATACGCGAAAGTGAGCCGCGCCATTCGCGTGCTTGCGCAACTCAATTACATGAATTTTTTCTATTACTCTCTCACGTTTTACTTAATTACTTTATTTGCATAAGTCTTAAATCAATACAATTTATCTATATAGATAGCACAAAACAATATCTACACTACGATATACATTACATTTTCATATCACGAAAAACCTTTTATTTATTAAATGAAATATGCCTATTTTACTCACAAGTTCGAAGTCGAAATTTCTTAAATATTTAACACAGAAAGTTAAAACAATGTTTTCCACTTGAAATTATACATAAGTTAACTAATACAATAGTTTAATTTACATTTTCTCTATTTATTTCACTATTTAAAACACTTTTAAATTTCTTATACAAAACTATCATTATTTCACTTATACACAGGAATTTTCACATAAAAATAACACTAAATTCACCTTTTTAGCACGTACAATCAACCTGAAATGTTTTATAAGTCATTTTTACATAAATTGCTGAAATTACAAACATTTTAAATTTTTACATATTCGGCCTCCTAAGGGCGTGGCCAGCGTGCTTCCGTGAACTCACACTATTTGAACAACTAACTTTTGCACGGCTCTCGGCTATCAGAAAAAATGGAAGTCTGATATACACTAATTTTAACAATATTAGGTAAATTAAATGCTTTTACACAATTTTCGAACTGTAGGAAACTATTTATAATCAGATTCTTATCAGTTATCATGTTTCTTATCAAACAATATAAATGAATGTTTTCATAAATCAATCATGGCAAATAGGCATTTGTTTTCGTACAAAACATATCAAACTTATATAAAACAATACTTATGCAATTAATTTCCGTTAATTCTATTTATGCACAGAGTGATCATCTCGACCGGGGAACAAATCCGATCTCTAACTTTATTTAATTATTCTTTTAAATTTACATCATTGGAAAGATGATTTCAACCGGGGAAACAATCCGGTAACATAATTTATATCTTAAAATTCCCTATATGAATTTATTGAAAGATATTACTTAGGAAAACAATAAACTAGTCCGGCTTGGGAGTCGAACCCAAGACCTTCATATCATTAATTCGACATTTCTTCAAGATTTAACTAAGCATTTTCTTATTAGAACATTGCTATTGGACAATATGCCTTTGAGACGTTATTCGTCATCGGTTGACTTAATAAACTGAAATATTCTTATAGGCGCGTCGCCAACAGAAGTATATGGGACTTTATAATCTATGTATGTATATATATATATATATATATATACTGTGACTAAACTGGGAACAGATGTGGTGGAATATTTTACTAAGTTTCATCTCACTTAAGAACCTACCTCTTTTTGTGTTACAGATTAACACATTCGTATATGCTAGTTTATCCAAATGAAAATATAGGTTTGATTATAACCTTAATGGATCCTTATCATTATTACCGCACACAATTACAACATAATCGAATATATTATAATCTTTACATAGTTCAAGAGATTATTCAAGTAGTTTGTCAGTCGTTGCACCAGGTTTACTTAATTGTCACGGTGAAGTTGGTTCCGATTAGATTTTGTAGCATATTTCTTATACGTGTATGTCCGTCCGAAAATATTAGAACTCTATTCCTGTAACATATTGTTTTACTTAAGATTGGGTTCACTGTTGACGGGGCTGATGTTGACTGTGACTCTGTCAGGAGTTGATTATTTGCTTCACATTCATCATTTTTCTCTCGCTGAGGCGTTTCTAATGCAGAAGAATTGCATGTCCTCTCCTGATGTTGAGTGTTCCTAATCGGATTTTCTGTAGTGTTCTCAAGGTTGATATTCTTATAACATATTGTTTTATTAAAAATTGGGTTTACTGTTAAGGGGACTGGTGTTGAATGTGACTCTGCCAGGGGTTGATTATTATTTGCTTCACATTCATCATTTTTCTCTCGCTGAGGCATATCAAATGTAGAAATATCAGATAATAATCAAAATAATTGTAAAATGGCACATAATCCAAACGAAAATTATTCTTAACTAAAAGATATTTTATCAAAAGTAAACTTTTAATATCTAAATTATAATTGTTATTATTTTTGTGAATCTTACAATAACTATCGTCTACTTACTCAATACTTTAAATGATTCAATCAAATTATAGTAAAAAATGAGAAATGGAATCATAATTAAATTATTGAATTATAAAAATTGGCATAAAAGGAAGGAACCAACTTCGTCGTTACCAACTCATTCAAATCTTATTTTTATTAGCACTTAGTTGTTGTTTTTCTCTATATGCTTGATTTAAAGAAATTTCGGATTTATTGATCATTTTCTTTCCTTTATTTCTAACGTGAACTTGTTTAAAAGTGTTATGATGTTTTATAATAAAAGCAGAGAGGTTCTGATTTCACCATTCTTAAAACCTTTATATCATTCCAGTTTACAGTACTTCCGTCTCTGTCAATATTATAATTATATCCCCATTCTTCTTGAAGGGCCTTAAAGTCCATAAATTAGTCGAAAGTTAATTCATGTACTTTTTTTGCATTTTTTATTAGTGTGACATATTGATCGAAACTGTAAATTGGACCCGATTTTAGGTTTTTCTTTAATTTTCTTTCTATTAAGCTGTGAATGCTATCCGCTTCGCTTTGAGTGTGTCCCCTTATTAAAAACTTATGTGTTATGTTGGTAATATTTAAATGAGTTACAGCGTTTAAGTACAAGGTTGCTATGTATTTATTTTTGTTCTGCCCACAACAGTTATCTGAGTAAAATGTAATCTGTTTCGGTTCTCTATCTTCCGCACACACATTTTTTAAATATTCCCATACACATGACCCAATTTCATTTACTCTTCGTTTGGCATCAACCTCAGTCCACAAGTAACAGTGTACATTTTCGTAAGCTTTCTTTTCTCCACTTAAAAGTTCTGTTACAGTCAAATTGTAACTATTTAACTTGGACTTATTATAGAAAGCTGATGTGTCGCCTCATGTACATTGTAATACAGCTTCTAAATCGTAAACTGCGACCTTGTCATCCTTTGTAACGTTTTGACGATCAGCTTGTTTGTCTCGACGACTTAAATATTCTCTTCTAAATGCTTCTGATGTTGGTATTCCAAATATTTTTGTGCATTATTTGCATTATTGTACGAAACACATAGGTCACACTGATCTTTTTTTGGCTGGTGGAACCCTAAGTTAAATTCATTTGTGAAACTTTTATAATATGCCATATAATTACCTGTGTTCTTGTTGGACTGAATTTGCTGTAAAACAAAACCATTATATGAATCTTTTATTGTTTTATCACCACTAATATACTGTTTTGAAGTTGAGGACCTTACATAATGTGATTCTACTTTTGGTATCATATTAATATGTTTTCTTATATCATCTAGTATGTCTGGATTAAGCTTTTTATGGTTATTGTGTTTACCTCGTAACTCATTCATCGCGAAACCACCATACATTTTAGACTAGACAGTGTCGACCATTCGTTCCGAAATTGACAGTGTATTTTTGAAAAAAGTCTTACACACCCTAATGAATTGGTCATTAACAGTAAAATAGAAGGCTTTGTTGGGACGCCTAGGATGTTCAGAGTTAGTATATTTGTATTTTGGAGTCACATCTACCATACATGTTCGAATATATGCCCTCTGGGCAACTAAGTTACCTAGATCCCAAAAGTTACTAAAGAGTTTGAATCTACTTTCTGAAGTTATATTTATTGAACATTTTAATTTACATTTTTTTTACACGCATCTTTTATATAGCGTGCTGGAATCCTTTTACGAGATTTTGACATCGAAACATAAGATTCTCCTGTATTTATGAGCTATTTTTATTTAATTTGCTGCCATATATTAATATTTATTGACCGGTTTTGGCCCCTGCGACTATTTTTTTCTATGCTATTGTTAGATTCGGAGGAATCCGAAGTTGGTTCCCCGAACAAAAATTTTTTTCTTCCGACAGGCCTATCCAATATCGTATTAAAATCTATAATAGGATCATCATCACTGATATTAACGTCACTTTGAGTGTATATTGGAGAAATATTATAATTATTAGCTTTGTTGTTACTTCTACGCTACCTTTGCCGTCCCTCTCTATTATTTGAGAAATTGGAGCAAAATGGTATATTTTCTTCATACCCTGTCTGAATATCTTGTAAACTGCTATTTTTTCGTGTGTTACACTATTGCTAGACGATGAGCTCGATGACGATGAACTAGAAGATGCAGAACACGATGAAGATGAATTAGATGTCAACGAACTAGATGAAGACGATCTTGAAGAGATCGAAACCTTGGTACTTTTAGACGGTGAACATTTAGAATTATTAATGACTGATGATGTAAAATTTGCAGAGATATTGCGACCATGCTCAGGTTCATTCTTTTCGTCTATATTTTTATTTTCGCTAAAAGATAAATCGCTTCTACAGTCAGATACAAGGTTAGCAGGTTGTTTTTCAGTCTGTAGCAAACATTCTATCGGAGCCATCGTTTCTACTTCTGTGACTGAATTGGGCTTCGTTTTCCTTGTTTTCTGCTTCTAACTCTCCACTGTTTATTATCTGAAAAATAAATAAATTATCTACACGAGTCTTAATGGTATTAATCATAATTTCTTAAGACAATACTCTTGATTGCCATTCAATTACAAATTATAATCACAACAATTACAAAATCAAATCAAATTCATTTTAACATCCCACTGCTGGGATTTAGGCCTCCTCTCTAGGAGAGGGTATACCCAACAATTACAAATTAAATGTAATTAACAATTACAAGTTAAAATACGCGATTGTTGCGTTTAAGCAACGGTCGCAAGGGTTGGTCAAAAGATAGGTGGAAAGGAAGGAAGGTATAAAGTACCTTTAGTTCCGGCTGCATATGCAGTCGTTAATGACCTCCAATTCCCATCGGGGCGTGGAGTCACCGACCTTAACCATCCATAAAAAAGGTCTGTATCTCAGCAGTGGGGACTTTAAATGGCTGATTATGATCAAATCATCAATGAAACTGTGTAATTAAACATTAAAAGCCTAATTTGGAAAAATAAGACCTAATAAGTCATATAAATATTATCTTGGTATATATAATTAAATCGTAAGAATTTATGCATATTTCTTATCTTTCTATCTCCACTTGTATTGACATTCGATAATTCTTTTAAATCTTCTTTAAAAAAATGAAGAAGATGGGCAATATTCATTGTACGTTGTGTAACCCCCCCCCTCTTATAAATGTATATTATAATTATTTTACCCTTTCAAACAAATTATATATATGTGACCAGGATAAATAAAATATGTTTTGATCTTTCTAAATGATCTTTCTAAAGGTTTAATAATAGGCCGTTTGTAATATTTTTGGCGTGATCTTCTAATTTAGGACCCTTATTTACGTTGTGTTTGTTTAGTAACTTAGTTCTTTTAGGTGTCTTTTGGAAGAATGAATCTTCACTAGAGCAATTGAAAGCTGTTGGTAGTGCCTTATAAGCTAAGTGAACCCCGTTCACGAAGACAGGGCTCGAGAAAGGTTAAGAATATAAAACGTCCCTATTCCAATTGTATCAGGTTTACATTATTAATTATTTATTCTTAATTATCGCTTTATTTTTACATATACTTTATATTTCATTATCACCATCCTCCATGATGGCACTACTCCGGAGGGGTGGAGCAGAAGTGCGGTGGTCTTGTTCTTCAAGAAAGGTGACAACGCCCTCTTGAAGAACTACAGACCGATATCCCTTCTGAGCCGCATCTACGTGCTGTTTTCGAGAGTCATTACGAACCGTCTCACACGCAGACTCGACGCCTTTCAACCTCCCGAACAAGCCAGTTTCCGAAAAGGCTTTAGTACCATAGAACACATATATACCCTTCGGCAAATTATACAGAAGTCCGAAGAGTACAATCTGCCACTTTGCCTGGCGTATGTGGACTATGAGAAAGCCTTTGATTCCTTAGAATAGTTTGGGCGGTGCTACAGTCTCTTCAGCGATGCCAAGGTGACTGTCGGTATATCGAAATGCTGAAGTGTTTGTACGATGGCTATCCGAGTACAGAACCAGAGTACGAAACCTATCCAACTTCAGAGAGGTGTAAGACAGGGTGACGATATTTCCCCGATACTCCAGGTAAGTCCAACTTTGACCGAGAGGTCAATCGACGGATTCAACTCTGCTGGGCAGCGTTCAGGAAATTACGACACATCTTCTCGTCAGGTATACCTCAAAACCTGAAAACTAAGTGAAAACTAAGTGTACAACCAGTGCGTGTTGCCAGTGATAACATATAGAACTGAGACGTGGTCCTACACTGCTGGCCGTATGAGGACGCTCAAAGTCGCTGAGTGAGCTATGGAGATGGCTATGCTCGGAGTTTCTCTGCGTGATAAACTTAGAAATGAGGATATCCGCAGTAGAACCAGAGTGACCGATATAGCCCAACAGATTAGTAACCTGAAGTGGCAATGGATCGGCCATAAATCTCGAAGAACCGACAACCGTTAAGGAAAAAAGGTTCTCGAGTGGCAGCCTCGTACCGGTAGACGAAGTGTAGGGTGACTCCGGACTAGATGAAGTGACGACCTGGTAAGACATGCAGGAAGTCGATGGATGCAGGTGGCTCAGGAACTAACTTAGTTGCATACCTTGGGGGAGGCCCCATGTTCAGCAGTGGACTTGTGAAGGGCTGTAATGATGATGATGATGAATTATCGCTTCCGGCTTTGAAAAGGGCCACAATATATTCATACACGATACAACGGTTTCACTCTCCCTCATTTATTTTAAAAAAATGAGGGGAAGGCACACGGCTCCACACACGCCGTGCGCGGTAAGCGCCAGCCTTTTTGATGCACTCCCCCCAAAGGGAACGCTCATTTGAGAATTGGACCGTAGTCTACAGGAAAATAACTGACGAACCAGTAAAA